CTAAATTGATCTGGCGGCTAAAACGCTTCAAATAAAGGAAAACTTGAAACTAGAACTATTTGAATCGGCAAGGTTTTGCTCCTAGCGCGTAAAGTGAATGCAGCTTTGAAACCTTAAGCGAAAACAAATGTTAGACACGACAGAATTGTTGAACAAGGATTCACAATAATTGTCGTGAGCCGCGATTGTAATACGAGCGTAATACAAGAGCCGCGCGTAACGCGGGCGTCGCACGGCCACTCTCGATCGCTATCAACTTGATCTAGTTGAATACTACAAAGCTTTAACTGGTTAACTCACACAGTTAACGAATGAACCAAACGCGATGAAAATATTTCATCTCTATGTGGCTCGATAACGATCAAGAGTGAAAAATGCCTTCATATAGGCTAATGGGAAAAACAGCACAAAAGGAGCCGAAGCTAATGTGTCGCCTACTATAAATATACATATGTATCACTAGTTCAACGAGCTGACGCACTTTTTTCATTATTACATCTCCAAAAAGTAAACATAAAATTAAGTCTTCTAGGTGTGACGAGAGTCACTGAGTGTTTCGCGCACCTTCATAAGAATTAGAAAAAAGAAAGCGGAGAAAATAAGTAAAAAAACGCTAGTACACTGAAGTGCAAGCACTGCTCCTACGCAGGTGATGAGTGGCTTCCCCGCAAAGCTTTTAAACTGAAGATGGCATACCTTGGCGCAACTCTGCTACCTAAAGGTAGAATATACCGTAATTCTAACGAGCATATACACCTGACGCCATCTACTGAGCAGTTTTTAAGTTTAACTAGAAGTGGCTATATACTACTACTACTACTACTACTACTACTACTACTACTACTACTACTACTACTACTACTACTACTACTAGAATTACTACTACTACTACTACTACTACCAGTACTACTACTACTACAGAAGAGTGAACCACCACACCATAACGAACTTCGCTCATAAAACAATACAGGAGGAGGCTGATCATATTCGATCAGCAGTAATCAAGTTGTAAGGGTAGCTTATGCCAACGAAGTGCAGAATGCTGAACCAATACGCTCATGTACTGAAGGAAGTGTTGTCACCGGAAACGAATGCTCACCGTCCACGCGGCACCATTCGTCAGCTTCACTGACAACGCGAGGGTTCAGCGGCAAGCTACCCCAAAGCGATATCTCAGAAAGCAGCGGTGAAACAGCTACGCCGAGAAGAAGCTGCGACCACAGAGTGGAGGGCATGAGAAGGAACGGTCCCACAGCCAAAACATTTCACATATACTGTACACTTGTTTTGCCACTAATTTTCATGTGTGAGTGGGCAATGTGCCAGGTGATGTGTGGCAAGAACAGTGCCCAGTGCTTTACCCACTCTTCAAGTTTAACTACGTGAAGATGCGTCACTTTTAGGAGCTTGATCCTTATTCTAAAGCATTGTCCATCCCTTCGTAGTAGCCACGCTCCCTTAGGATCAAATGTCAGGGTACGAATGGAACGTGATGCTCGCGTCTCTTTTGCATGAGTGGGCATACAGGGTAAGCTACACTACGCTAGAAAATAAATGGCAGCATATCTACGTATTGAATGATGGAGAGTGGGGCGAAGCATTCTTCCATCCAGTCGTTCTTGCTTCCGTCCGTCCATGTGTCTTTCCTTGTGACCGTCCGTGCGTCCATCCGCCCGTCCGTGCGTGCGTCTGTTCGTGCGTCAGTCCCGGCGTTCGTCCATGCATCCGCCCGTGCGTTCATTCATGCGTCCATCCATGCATCTGTCTGCGTGTTCGTTCGTCCATCTATTCAACACTCCAAATACCACCATCTCGCACCTTTTCATCATATATTGCCCATATAGAAGCACCGCCATCCAGCGGACATTCCAAGGACTAAACGAGAGGTGGCACACGCACACTTTCTTACGGCTTGCGCTTCGGGTCTACTTCCCACCTATAACCATCTCGAGTTCATAGTATATACTAGTTCACTGTATTCATGGCACTGCGGTCCAACGCTCGCTAAAATTTTTTAAAACCAAGAAACCAAGGAGGTCACGCGCAGCTAGGTTAACGTAGCAACATTTTCCTGTCAGATATTGCTCAATGTACATGCCAATAGCTGCTAATAGAAAATGAGAGACAGGAGAATTCGGCTTTTAGCCCCGCCGCAGTGGTCTAGTGGCTAAGGTACTCGGCTGCTGAACAGCAGGTCGCGGGTTCATTTCCGATGGAGGCGGTAATGTTGTAGGCCCGTGTGCTCAGATTTGGGTGCACGTTAAAGAACCCCAGGTGGTAGAAATTTCCGGAGTCCTCCACTACGGCGTCTCTCATAATCATATGGTGGTTTTGGGACGTTAAACCTCACATTTCAATCAATCGAATTCGGCTTTTACTTTCTTACGGCTTGCGCTTCGTATCTACTTCCCACCTTTGACCACCTCGAGTTCATTCATGGTAAATACTAGTTCATTGTATTCATGGCACTGCGGCTCAACGCTCGCTAAACCTTTGTAAAACTAAGAAGGTTACACCCAGCGAGTTACTGTCCTGAGCTCATGGTCACTTTTCGTGGATTATTGAGAGAAATAATCCTGGCTTCTGCTTTATGTCTGAGTAACCCCAACTTCTTTTGCTGTGAAATTTTGCGTATTTAAAAAAAATCTAGATGACTTCACTGTGTTGAATGCTGACTCTGTAGCTTTTTCACTTGCTTCTACTGGAGTATGAAATTTCAGACTGTTGCAAGAAATAAACGAACCTTTTCTAAAAATGTTAAAATACAGTGTGGTGATGGTGTTTAGTACGTAAATTCAGCCTAACGTAGGTAATAATCTAAACAGAGAAAAACAAGCGTTTTATTTACCTAACACGCGAAACGAATTCGGCAGTTCTTGAGTACCTTGGGAATCGAAGTCATGCGAAGCATGTAGAGGGAAGTCGACAGTGATGTAAATTTTTATTAAGCAATACGTTACGAAATGACGCTAAACATATGTAACAATGTTTTACGAACACACCTATTTCACACAGTAGCATGTTTACAGTTCGGTAACGATGCCAACAGCCACATGAGTTTTCGAAACCCCAGAAGCAGTAGATTGACATGTAGTGCATCTGTTGGTCGGCCTGGACGCTGCAAGATAAATGAGCTTCAGTGGATGGTACTTGACTACAATTGTCGTTGACCAGTCATCACAGCTGTATGATAGAAGTATGTATTTACAGTTCATAAGTGTGAATAGCGAGCACTGCGACCGCAATGGGTGGTTTAAGAACATTATGGTCTACTTGATATCTAGATCCGAGACCTAGCATGGCTCTCTGGTAGAATATTTAATGGGTAGATTTCTGCTGAGACCATCGTATTTATTCAATGCATTTATTGAATAAATGCTCCAGATGCCAGTTACAGAGCCGACTTACTTCGCGTCCACCACACGCCACGAAACCTAAACTGAAGCTGAAGACTTGCCCAACAAAAACCCAAACCTTTTGTGCAAACAACAGGCATGTGTAATCCCGTATACCACAGCACTATACAAGTTCCCCGCGCCGTCCTTCATTCCATGCATCTGTTCGTTGGTCCATTCATCCGGCTATGCCGGGTTTGATTCCCGGCAAACGAAAACGTTTCAACTCACAAACAAATGTTGATAGCCGTTTAAAAAAAGTAAGAATGCCATTCGCCACTTCTAACGGGTAGCTAGTGGGGAATGAGGAATCAGTACATACTATAGTAGCATCGTCTTCTTTGGCAATATCAATAGTGCACTGAGCATGTCTACACCTCCTGCTGCTGGGCTCTGAGCAACGACGAGCCATGCTGTATGTGTGTCACGATGCAGCGAGGGTCTCAGTTGAGACATGTGAAACCACGAGAGGGTAACCAAAATGAGAGACACGCATATAGATAGATAGATAGATAGATAGATAGATAGATAGATAGATAGATAGATAGGTGCAGAACTCCGAGAAGCTGCTATAACCTCAAGTTGTACAGGTTTTGATGTTGTTCATGCCGAAAATGTTGAAAATGAAAGGAGCCAGTAAAATTGGTGCTTATTTTTCCAAAACAATGAGCCCAAAAAGGTGTGCAACTGCCTGTGTCGTATATTGCTTAAAGTAGCTTTTGCGAAGCGTTCTCCTTTTTGCGATGGAAAGAAAATGGAAGCCTGTGAGGTCACAAGGGTCATGAGGAGGCAAGACAAGACACTCAGGGTGAATCTTGTGGAAAAAATGTACAAAAATTGCTAGCAACTATGCTGTGCAGTTAAAATCGATGTGCAGTTAAAACTCGCCCTAGTATACAATCGCAACCGTGATTGACGAATGCTTCAGTGCCAGTTTTGGAAGCATTTGTTGTGTTAGATGAAAGTTATTGCACAATGACAGCTTGTAAAAATTACCAAACTGTGATGTTTACTTCTATGTACGCTTTCGAATTCTGACGTTTACCTTACTATAACTTGTAATGCATCTTGGTATCGTCAAAGGGTGGTGTCGAAGAGTGTTGTGAGACATCGAAAGAACAGCCACACGATGCAATATATAGTTGGGAATCACCATATCACACACTTGTTATTTTGTTTACATTAATAACATGGCGATCAGTTTATATTCAATCGCATAAAGGTTAAACCGAAGTGTGCTGGCAGCTGACTCAATTACACGTAGAAATATGCAGTAGAACCAATCATTCATATATTATTCTCGATGTAGCGAGTGCACCTAATACCCACACATTTTTTCTCAAGAAGCATACCTGTTTATACCTTGTTTGCCGCACTAAATGCGGTAATTGAGACACACACTCCTAAAGTTCTTTCGTGTTGTTTGAACAACTTTATTTAAAAAAAGTTCTAAGCTCCTTGTAGGCATTTGTTAGAAAGGGTATGTTTCATGAAGTTGGGAAAGTATCTCAATTGCACGTGGAATGATGTGCATTTAGTAGTCAAATATGTTAGCAACATTATGTATACTTTCTTATGCTGAAACTAAGTTGATTTTTTTTGTAGAGCCCTGTTTTACTGGAAACAACACAATCCAGCACGGGAAAACAGGAGATACTGGCAGTAGTAGGTGCCTTGGGGCTTACTGCTGGTATGGGCACTTAATTCCTATACAGTAAGTCGTTATTTTATTCAAGCTTTTTGCAGAAATGTGCGCAATGCAAAAAAAAAATACTACTGTCTCTACGAAGCGCAAGTGGGCAGAGTGTTATGACTGTTTTTTAATGCGACTGTGAGGAAAAGTTTCTCTTCTAAGCTTTTCATAGCCGCCGTTCACACAAACCATTACTAGAGTTATTATTTCCAGATTTCTTGCTAGAGTCATCTTCATGGTGTTTCAAGACCATAAATATTTGTTTGTACAATCATTAATATGTTGTTATGCGTACTGGAAATATGCATGGCAGTAGCTTTAAGGCAAGCATAAATTTCATGATGCACATTTCCAAAAAAAATGATTGCTTCCAGTGTGCTTTCTAATTATATACCTTTTTAGAGCTTAAAGTACAAAGCAGCTAATCTCGCACAAGCTTTAGCAGACAATAACTAGTAGAAAAACCATATACGTTTATCTGTTTATTATTAATATTGCCACGCGACTACGTGGCGCTGAATTGAATATACTGGTGGAGTGAATACACGGAGGGAGTATAGTAGTGAGTTGGCCTTATTAGAACACAATTATGTTCACCTGAAGTTTTGTCCACCTGTTTTCTTTCAGCCCAGCTTGTCCTACCTATAGGGTGCAATGGTTACAAAGCAAAAACGCACAAAAGCAAACAGATGCAACAATAAATTATGTTGATACTGTAAATTGAATTATGGTAACTCCCTACTGGTGGCAGCGAGCCTGAAGGAACAGTACAGCCTTCTTTGGCGTACCAGCCAATCCTCGCCTAGAGATAGCCAGCTATGCCTATACAGATATAGTCCTTTCCCAGACCACAACAAGAATAGATATATATACTGTTTTTCCAGCCCATAGCAACAATACATAGTAAATAACACCAGAGAATAATACCATAAAAAAAACTGCTTCTGTTACTTTACCTGCCTACCCCCCTGGTGATACCCCCATGTTCTGCTACCTCACCTGCTTACCCCACAGCGGTCACCATCCCGCCAAGGCCAAATTCGCAACAAGAAACGACGAGAGAGAGAGAGAGAGAGAGATAAAGATGCAAGGAAAGGCAGGGAGGTTAACCAGACGCACATCCGGTTTGCTACCCTGCACTGGGGAAGCGATAAAGGGGAGAAAAGAGGTTGCAGAAAGATGACAAGGTACACACAATCACGAGCACATTCGGGGAGCACACACAGTCTACAGGCGGTCGCTCAGGTTTGTTGACTTAAGGTAAAGTAGCAGTGCTTTAGTTGCTTTCTGCGCAACTGAGGCAGATGCCCAAGGTCCTAGTATCTTCTGCACACAAAATGGTCCGGGGTCAAGTTGATTCAAAACCATCCGGAGCTGGCATCGCTGTGTGTCGTAGCAAGCGCAGCTGCACAGGACGTGTTCGATGGTCTCTTCAGCTCCGCAGTAGTCGCATGTAGGAGTGTCTGCCATACCAATGCGAAGGGAGTACACCTTTGTAAATGCAACACCAAACCAAAGGCGGCATAACAGTGTCGCATCGGAGCGGGAAAGTTGTGATGGTAGCTTTAGCTTGAGCGAAGGATCCAGTTCATAAAATTGACACCTTTGGAAGCTGGTAGACGACCAGAACGTGCGTGTGAGATCTCGAGCATGCAGGTAAAGTTGTCTTGCTGCATCATTCCTTGATAGAGGAATCGGGACTACACAGGTTTCTTCAAGAAACGACGAAATTTCATTTTACAATAAGCGTCGCCTTAGCATTACCAGCGAAAATGTGCCTATTCTTAGAACCGATATTGCAAATTGTTGTTTTGTTGCACAGATAAATAGCAGGTGTACCGCAGCACTTGGGGGGGGGATTATGGATTTATTCTAAGGTTCCAACCGACCATAGAAGCCCAAACTCTTTGTGCCAGTCAACGACTTCACTGTAGACATTCTTGACATTAGGACCTAGGTTTGCCCAGTCTTTCTCGTTCAGTTTTCTAAGATGTGGTTTTTTTCATATTTTAATTATATATTCTCCTCTCCTCCTCTTGTGCTTCCTCCATTTTTCTTAACCAAGCAGTTTTAGTTTAAAGCACGCCCACATCCTAATTTCCAGCTCCATGCCCTGCACTTCTAACTTGACTAGCCTTTACTCTCTGCCGCCCTGCTCTCCAGCCTGTTACTCAACGCTCTCCCATCCTCTCATTCAACCTGCTCTCTCCCTTCACACTCTCCACTTTACTTTTCACCAGTTTACTCAATAGTGGGGCTTCGCACAATTTCCGTGACGCAGTGCCTGTGGGGTTTTCTGCAACGCTGGCATTATTTCGAGCTTTAACAGCACCAATGCATAAACTCCGTATTACAGCATGCTATTTTCGATGAATTCACATATAAAGACAATGAGTAAATATACAAAACACAACTATTTGATCGTGTTATGCAAACTAAACCTTTCCAAATATGCCTGTTACAAGTAATATAGCTAACGGTGAGCCTAAAGGTAGTTGGCGTCTATTAGTTCTTGTCAGAAAGCATGAAAAACTTGGAATGGAAGCAAGAGTGTGGAGATGTGCGCCTTTTGTAGTACATGCATAAAGAACAGAGCGAGATACTACAGCCCACAAAAAAGTGGAATGTGCATAGCTCTCATGATGAATACCACGCACGCGATTCCTTTCTTTGTCGTGTGGTTTTTCACAAAATTTCTTTAATCATGTAAAACCAACGTAACAACCTTTGTGCACTCGTGCAATACATTTTATGTACAATGGAACCTTTTGTGTGTTCGTCTACGAATCTTTGTGCCATCGTGAGTGCTATAGCCCATCTCACTTTCCTTGCTCAATGTTTCTCACCAGCGCTCTCTGCGTTTCTTTTATGTGTGTCCTGTGGTTTGTGCGCTGCTTTTGAGTTAGAACGGCATAGTGCTTGCAAACAGCTATCGAAAGGCATCCGATCTTTAGTGTCAGTGATGTTGGAGCAAGGCTTTGTCGTTTTGCGTTGACATCACACACGAAATGGGATAGGCTGGGGTACTTGGTTTAAGCGTCGGGTTTATTCATGTGTGAAGCACCTCGGAACTTACCAAGGCCAATTCGACGCCGCTGTCTGTCTGTTGTGTAGGTGCTCGAAGCACCAGATGAAGAGCAGCAGGGCAGAATAAAGAGCAGCTTGGGGCGCGTTCACAATCGGTGTGTCGAGCTCACCAGGACTATGGGCAGTCGGGGCCCTACTTGCGCTCAGTCTCCTCCGTCCGTTCACCGCCTGTCCATCCGTTTCGAAGTTATTGTTGCACCACTTGAAGCTAGAGCGAAGAAATAATGCCCCGATGCAGTGGCTTTGCCTCTAGAAAGACAGAACAAAGTTGGTGTAATTCCGTATTTTCTCTTTGTTTCCGAAAACGTGCAGAAGATGGGTGGTCACTTCGATGTCAGTATAGCCTTTTGTGGCGACAGGAAGATCAGAAGTATGTGCGGCTCTTTTTATAGAAGGGTGCCACAAAGAGTGGTGGCTTTTGTGAGAAGTGAATGTTCGATAAAACACTCTACACAGTTCGCTTACTGCGCCGGCGGTGTGTAAACTATACCTCGGTCATGTGGTAGTGACTACAGAGGAAGAAGGAAAGGTCCCTTAACATCCGTTTGAGAGAGCATGCTGGCTTTCTGAAGAGCGCGCTGTCGTCGACCCTTGCCATTTGATACCGACAGTGCTGCTGCTCACCCGAGCTAAAGTATAGCAACGTCCAGTAGGCACAACAGCGCTGTACTCGTGAAATCATGGATGTTTTTGAAATAGGAAAAAAAAGAGGGGCGCGCAAGCTCTCCTTCTCAGATTGAGCAGAAAGTGACCTGCCTGGAAGGTGCGCAGTTATAAACTTCACACATAATAATATTGCTGTATTTGTTTCTTTTATTTTTGGGTGTGTGTGTGTGTGTGTGTGTGGAGGGGGATTCGGTATTAATGTTCGTCTTTTTTTCCAGGTATATTTTTGGGTGCATTTTAATAAATATTCAGTTGTAAGACAGTGCCTGTATCGCTGTTCTTTTCAACGTTGATGTCCCGTTTGCGCTGCCCTCACCAATAATTTTCAACTTGCCCAAATTCCTAGCATGTATACATTCGCTTATGAACCTTTTTTTAACCAGAACTTGCGAGACGACGAGCTACGACGAAGCAGTTAGAAACCTTATTCGCGAAAGCAGGACGTTGCAAATCACTCCGGCGCAAACGACTTGTAGCTGTACCACTGAAATTCAGATGGCATGATGGCGTAACATATATACTACGACCGGTCTATTTGGAATTTTTTTCCTATATACAGCGTTGCATGTATTTTCATCTTGATTCTTGGCGTGGTCTATATGAGCGCTTCATTAATGTTATTGCGGACATCTATTATGAGTTTTCGTCTCCTTAATTAGCAAGTGTTAGCGTTTGATTCAATATTTTGACTAAGTCATTCATCATTTATAGATTCGTTTTCAACATTGTGAAAATTCATATATCATTTTAAGTAATTGGAACTCGGAGCAGTGCAGTTTAGCTGATGTACTTGTCCTAGAAGCAGTACGGAGCTTCAATAGCTGGTAAAAGTTATAAGTAAAATATAGTCTAACGAGTGATTGAACTGCCACTAATTCTACCATTGTACATTGCGTACACTCTAAAGGCAAGCCAACATATTGGAAGACGTGTGTATAAGTAGCCGGTACATTTAAATATGTCACCATGTTTAATGTTTCACTTTGTTAGATGTGTGTTACATGTACTTACGAATTCTTTCACCTTTCTTTTACTTGCCTAGATGCCCATTTGCAAAGCCTAAAGATGGAAAGTTTATTTACACACGTCGAAATGCCACTTGGCCAAACTGTTGCTATTTCACTAGAACGTGCAAACAATAAACAAGGCTACACATCGCACCCCAGCGACCATTTCATAGGATTAAAACAGAAGTAACGGTCGCATCTAACTATCTGCCTAAGTGTGCGTGTAAACAGTTTGGTCATCTTGCGGTACTTTTTTCGGACTTTATCATCGTATACTTTTGTAATAATAAAGATGTTTATGTCCATCTCCTCGTTTCACTGAGCTGAATTTCTGTGATCTTGGTTGCGATTTTAAATGAGGCAACACGTATTTATTTACGAAAATGCCTACGTATGTGCTGTCTTAAAGGGTCGCTCACTACGTTTGACAATTTTGAGCTGACAAGCGCAATGCGTACACAGGGGCGTTCAAGGCCACATCTGCTGAAATTCGTAACGCTACGCGCCGCGAAACGTCGTCAAATTTTAGGATAAATGCCGCTCTCTCTTCTTTTTGCCGGCGCGCGCCAAGAGATTGAGGGCATGACGTACACGTAAGAATTGCCCTACGGTAGTGCAGTGGCGTTGGGCCTCTACGTAGACGACTGTGCTTTGACGTTGCCTACTGTAGCACGTGACATGGAGAAAATTATTTAACACAGCATGTGTAGTTTGGTTGAACACTTTTGTGAAAACGTCGAGTCAGCCATTATTAAAGTAAGGTTACAGTATGCTATTAAAGTAAGGTTACAGTAAGCAGGCAAGAAACAGGCCGGAGACCATGCAGTGAGTGAACATGGCATCGGGTCTAGAAACGACAAAGTGGAGCTATTAGTAGAGTTTGCAGACCATAATAATTTACAGATCTTGAATACCTTCTTCAGAAAACGGACCAACTGTAAGTAAACATGGCGAAGTCATAATGGCAGAACTAAAAATAAATAGACTTTATTCTGTGCGCACATCAAGGTATTGTACAGGACGTAGAAGTAGTGGACGAGATCCAATTCAGTGACCATAAAATAGCAAGAGCTCGTGTACACCTAGATTAAAAAAAAAGCAAAGACAAAACTAATACACAAAAACAAATTATTGAACTAGTGAGTGCGAAAGCAGAGAAATTTATAGTTTCGCTTAAGAAAAGACTCGAGGCCCTAAACGAGGTAACCGACGTTAGCGTTGACACAATGAAGTATAACCTTACTAGTATCATAAAAAAAGTGCAATGGAAGTAGGATGTACAGTCACTAGGCAGAACACTATCAAACTATCTCAGGAGGCGAAAGTCTGAAGAGACGACAAACCGTCAAAGGCTCACATGCAGCCGACAAAGTAGAGCTAGTGGAGCTTCGGAAGTTATTCAATACGCGCAAGGTAAGCGACGTGAGAAGGTATACAATGGGCAGAATTGAGCAGGTTGCAAAAATTAACAGACGCTTAAAAGTTGCGAAGGCAAACTTGTGGATAGGCAGAATTTGATATATGATTTAAAGAACAAGGAATACAATGTCATAGTCAACATGGATAGGATAGTCAAGGTGGCGGGGGAGCTCTACGGGAAGCTGTACAGAAGCCAAAACAAAAAAGTCTGATATCCTGACAAACAATAATAGTCCACAGGAATTCGGCATCTTTCCAAAAACGACAGGGGAAGTAAGGAAAGCCCTAGAAAGAAAGCAAAGAGGCAAAGTCGCTGGTAAGGATAAGGTAACAACGAACCTCCTGAAAGATGGCGGAAAAATTGTTTTAGAAAAACTGGTTATCCTATACACGAAGTGTATCTTGATGGTAAGGGTACCAGAATCTTGGAAGAACGCCATCACCATCTTAATTCATGAGAATGAAGACGTCAATGACTCGAAAAATTATAGGCGAGCTGCTTACTGTCCGTTATCGACAAATTATTCAAAAATATTAACTAATTGAATTAATGTGACATAAGAGTTCAAACAACCAAAGCACCAAGCATCATTTCGTATAGGCTATTTCACCATTGACTATATTCATACTATCAATGAGGTAATAGAGAAGTGCGCGGAATACACCCACCAGCTCTACATAGTCTTCATATATTACGAGAAGGCGTTTGACTTTGTCGAGAGATCAGCAGTAATGCAGGCACTATGAAATCAGGGCATCGTATTACCCTACATAAACATACTGGAAAATCTACAGTAGATTCACAACCACCATAACGCTCCATAAAAAAAAGCGACAGAATTCCAATAAACAAGGGCGTAAGGCAGGGGGACATGATCTCTCCAATGCTATTCAGTGCGTGTTTACAAGAGGTTTTCAGGACCCTAGATTGGGAAGAGTTTGGAATAAACATTAACGGAAACTCTCTAAGTAACTTGCGATTCACTGATCACGTTGTCTTGATGAGTAACTCAGGGGATGAATTGCAGCTCATGATTACAGAACTGGACACAGAAAGCAGAAAAGTAGGTCTGAAAATTATCATGTACAAAACTGAAGTAATGTGCAACAGAGTCGACAGAAAACTGCACTTTGCGATAGGTTGACAGACGATGGAAGTTGTAAAAGATGATAATATGTAGGGTTTAACGTCTCAAAACCATCACATGATTGTGAGAGATACCATAATGTAGGGCTTCGGTAATTTCGACCACTTTGGGCTCTTTAACGTGCACCCAAAACTGAGCCCATGGGCCTACAGCATTTCCGTTTCCATCGGAAATACAGCCGCCGCAGCCGGGATTCAATCCCGCGACGTGCGAGTCAGATGCCGAGTACTTTAGCCACTATAGACCACCGCAGCGGGGAAAGGAGTTGTAAAGAAATAAGGCTATTAAAGCCAGGTAGTAACCGCGGAGCCGAATCATGAAACTGAAATAACTAGAAGAACAAGACGAGGTGGATCACTTTGCGCAAGCATTTTAAAATCATGACTGGTAATTTGCCGCTAACCTTCAAGAAAAAAACGTTTATAACAGCTGCATCTTGCCAATACGTACCTACGGAGTGGGAACCTGGGTTCAGCTTAAATTGAGAACGATGCAGTGAGCGATAGAAACGAAGATAGGCACAACTTTAAGAGACAAGAAGAGAGCAGAGTGGGTCATAGATTGAGGATATCATACTTGAAATCAAGAAAAAGAAATGGACAGGGACCGGGCACGTAGCACGTAGGGCAGGATAACCTCTGGTAATTAAAAGTAACAGACTGGAATCCCAGAGAAGGCAAACGCACGAAGGCGAGACAGAAGGTTAGGTGGGCCGATAAGTTTAAAGCGTTTGCAGGTATAACGTGGCAATGGAATTCACAAGACTTGGTTGATTTGCAGATCATGGGAGAGACATTGCCCTGCAGTGGGTGTATAGTCAGGCTGGCGGTGAGGATGATGGCGAGTTTATGTTCTTTTATATGGTTAGTAAATCGGGCGTCTATATTTGGCAGTGAAGATTTTGTATCAGCAGTGTAATGTATTCAAAATAAGAGCTTTAATGCAATCTTTTGCCTATGTGTTCTCACTTGCTCATCTTCTAGATCGCATTCTTTTCAACTGGCAACTCATTTTTATGTTGCCGAAGGGCATGTGTTTGTACACTGTGTTCGAATGCTAACAGAGGTCGCCACCGCCGCTCTGGCTCAGAGGATGCGGCGCCCGTGGCTTCAGACTCGAAAGACGGCAGTTTGATCCCAGCCTTGGCGGTAGCACAAGCAACGTGGAATAGGTAGGCTTGCCTTAGCAGCTCACGGGAATACATGAAATTGGGGAGTACAAGGTGATATGGGATGGACATCACTTGAGGGCAGGGAAGCTAGCAGGAAAATAAAATTTGAGAAGTGATTGAGAGAAATTGGGTAGGAGCGTTGGGCTAGGAAGGTATTCAGCTACTTGTACATGAAGAATGTCGATACAAAATGGAGAAGGCGAACCGGAAAGTTGTCTGCTAAATACTTAGAAACCAGCAGGGGGCCAAAGCAAAAAAACATTATTGGTTAAGAAGGAGGTGAAGGAAGCTGAGACGGATATGTGAAGAATTGGCATGATTAAGAATTTCACGCTAGAGATTTATCAAACATTTAGCGGGAAATTGCCGAGGAAATGATCTATGATAATACTCGAGGTAGTTCTCTACTGTTTGAAGCCAGGACGGGAGTATTGCGAACCAAGACATATCGAGCCAAATACGAAGCAGTAGACATGGTATGCAGTGCGTGTGGAGAGGAAGAAAAAAAACTGCCAAACACTTGATAATGTTCTGTAAATGGCTTCACCCTATGGCTCAGGGTTATGGCGCATAGTTTTTCAAAGCACTGGGGTTAGGGACAGGGAGGGCAAAATAAACTATGAGCGGGTATAAATAACTAGAACGAGGTTATCTGATTGGTGGCTAAAGTCAAGGCACGAGTGAGCGCACCACACCTCACTGCAAAGTACGAGTCCTCAACCTCACTATTTAAGGAAAAAAAATAAATCTAGTTTTTGGTTCACTAAGCATTTGGTTCACTAAGTTTCGGTTCACTGAGTGGCGTTAGCCACTGCCCGATTTATAGGGTACAGCCATATCAATCCATCTATCCATCCAGCTCTTACACTCGCTCCACTTTTCACGCGTGCTTTCGTTTGGTAGGAGACCGCCAGGTGGCCACACCTATGAATACAGCTTGCTCTCAGCGCCCTCTGTTTCTCTTTCACTGGCTATCACAGAGCGCGCGTCGATACCGCTACCCACTATGAACACCGCAGAGGCCAAAATGGCCGCGCGGAGGGCTCGCAATGCGGCTGAAGCGTGGGCTCGCCATCAGAATTCTTCTCGAACTAATCACTACATCCTATATTTCAACATCTTTTCTGGCTCTGTATTTTGCGGATTACAAAGCCAGTATGCTAAAAGAACAACGTTTTTTCAAGCCTATGTAAGCGGTTGTTACGGGAAGGAGACTGACTCAGAGGAGTAGTCACCGATCACCGATGTATTTACAGCAGGTTAGGCGAGCAGCGCCAGCCACACAGATTAGCTCGTGCCAGTCTATCTGCTTCGTCTTCTTTAGCTCCATGCACTGGAACGTAGCATGACCCCCGGCGGCGGAGGCACCATCCCGGCGCTTTAAAGGTCGTTATCTGACGCATTATTGTAGGGCTTGATCCGCGAGACGTGTACGATATCACTGGGCCACATAGTAGATGATGATGGACAGATGGGGCTGATCTCGTAGGTGACAGGTGTTACTTGACGCAATATACGGTAGGGTCCCGTGTAATGAGACAGAAGTTTTTCGGATAGGCCCAGC